AACCGCAGTGAGATAACCATCAAGGCCAAAGACAAGCAGTACAAATGCAAAGTCTGCTTCCAGTGGTTCCTGACGTTAGGGGAGCTGGACTTCCACAAGCTCTCCCATAACCCTTCCCCTCCGCCTACCTGCTACATGTGTGTCCAGCGCAAATTCAGCTCCCGGGAGCAGCTGAGGGACCATCTGAAGGAGAAGCACGCCAAAAACAAAGCCGGTCTGTGGGCTTGTGGAATGTGCCTGAAGGAGATCTCCGACGTCTGGATGTACAACGAGCATCTCCGGGAGCATGCCACCCAGTTCGCCCGCAAGGGGCAAGCGCAGAAATCCGTGATGGGCCTGCCAGCCTGCTTCGGTGAGGACAATGCCGCTGTCACCCACTTCCTCAACACCATCATGTATCGGAAGCCCAGCAGGTCCTCCCGGCACATCGACCCCAGCAGCAAGCATGCAGTTAGCAGGGAGAGCAAGAGCCCCAAGGAGCTGCCCCTCGAGCAGGAGGCCAAGGCGATGAAAGACCCCTTGGAAAGCCACATCAAGGTGAAGCCACCTGCACCCAGCTCCTCTAAAGCATCCGCCAGTCCGTCTCCAGAGCACGTGGCAAAAAGCGAAGGCACCCCAAAATCTGTCCCCATGCACCCGGACTGCAAGGATCCTTCCAGGGACTGTCATCACTGTGGCAAACAGTTTCCCAAACCCTTCAAGCTCCAGCGGCACTTAGTCGTGCACAGTTTACAGAAGATTTATTTGTGCCACAAGTGTCCAATGTTCTACCAGGAGACCAAAGAGCTTCGAAACCACCTCAGCCAGGAACATGGGATAGTGGAGGAGCAGGAGATCAAGCACACCACCCTGTACGCCTGTGAGCTCTGCGCAGACGTCATGCACGTTATCAAGAAGTCCTTCATCTGCAGCATGTGCAACTACACCTTCTCCAAGAAAGAGCAGTACGACCGGCACATGGAGAAGCACCTGGTGGGAAGCAACAAGACTTTCAAATTCAGAGGGGTCATGAGGCCTGGCGTTGCCTCCAGAGAGGGCAGGGAGAAGGTGAAAGAGGACAGTTCTCTCCGGGAGGGCATGCCGCCGAGCAAGAAGAGGAAGGTTGCTCACCACGGCAGCTCACTCCCGCGCAGCTCGCCGGTCCACCTGGACCACACTAGTGACCTTCAGCTGGTAGAGGCTGCAAGCCCCAGCCTGCAAGCTTCCACTGACTCCTTCCCTACAGCACCCGGTGACCCAGGAGCACCTCTGCCCCAACCCTCCGTGAAAACAGAAGACCTGGTGGGTGACTTCTCCGACCTCCTGGCAGAGATGGAGAAATCCCAGTTTGACACCCTGCCTCCACCACCCTGCCTCTCCCCGTCTTTGCCACAGGCTGCGGCGAGCAGTCCAGAGCTTGGCCATATCGCTGCCCTGTCCATCGAGGAGCTGGAGAAAGGAGCATTTGATGGGAAATCACTTCCTTTCTTGGACTCGCCCGAGTTTACCATTGACCTTGCTGGCTTGGCTTGTAACCAGGCCACAGACCAAAAGCTCTCTCCTCCACACCTGACCGAGAAACGTGGCTACACCGATGCCCATAAAAGAACAAGCGTAGGCAACAAAGACGAATATATAGCGGGTGTCCTGGAAAATCCCAGTGCAGCCACCGATGCCGTGGATCAGATCCCATTTCTCCAGCTTGCCAAGAAAGCCTCGGAGCTTCCTTCCCCGCAGGCAGAGGCTCCACCAGCCAAGGAGACCCACAGGTGGGGCAACCCCAGTGCCAGCGACGCCTCTTCTTGGGAAGGTGCATCTAAGACCGCATCTCTAGAGGCTGCCCACCACCCCCTGCCCCTGAAGGACAAGACGGCATCGCCCACACTGAACAGGGCTGCCAGAGATTCAACCCTTCAGAAGAAGACTGCGGGTAGCCAGCCCGGCAGTGAGGCGGCTCCTGATGCGGGCAGCCCCGGCGGCAGCACCGAGGAGGGTCAGCAACCCATCTTGGGGAAGGAGAAAGCCGTGCCCGAGGCTAAGGACAGCAGCGCTAACACCAAGGACCAAGGTGGCAACCCGAGCAAATCCACCAG